ACCAATTCGTTAAAAAAATTAACGGGCACAGTAACAACTGTGCCGCAAACACGTAGAACTACGTCAACTGTCACTATTTCATGTTAACTTTAACATGAATACTTATTCAGCGCAGGAAAGTAGACGTAGGGCTACGTCAACTGTCACTATTAACAACCAAGTTTACTGAAATTTCTATAACTCAAGTACTGATTAACTAAATTTAAAAAAAATTATATATGAAATAGAGGTAGAAAAGACTGAAGAATATAATAGAATTAATAAAAATTGTTAATAATAAAGGGGTTACCGATTTCTGTTTAAAAAACAACCAAGTTTACTGAAATTTCTATAACTCAAGAATCAATTAACCAAATTTTAAAGAATTATATATAAAATAGGGGTAGAAAAGACTGAAAAATATAATAGAATTAATAAGAATTGCTAATAATAAAGGGGTTATCGATTTCTGTTTAAAAAAATCTACGTGATTGTTCTAATTTCCGCAAATTTTGAAATATCAAGCTTAATTTTTCTTTTTATAGATAGAGTATCATTAAAAGTACGTTGGTGTTGAATTTAGCAAGGATCGGTGAAGGGATTACCGATTTCTGGCTATTTTTAGAAATGTCCGCGGTTGCTCTAATTTCCGTAAATTTTGAGATATCACGCTTATTTTTTTTTATGGAGTTTTTATAGAATATTAAAGATTGTTATTTAATTTGGCGAGGATCGGTAAAGAGATTATCGATTTCTGCTTAAAAAGTGTATAAGATGTACATGTAATTTTATATAAAGTATTATTAAAGGGAGGTTGTTTTGAATTTTGCGACGATCGGTGAAGGAGTTACTGATTTCTGCTTTAAAAGTTACATGTATAAATTATACATGTAATTTTATAGAGTATCATTAAAAGAAGGTTGGTATTTTTGGCGATAACCGGTAAAAAAGTTCTTTCTTTATACAAAATTTTGAATTTTTGAGAAATGTCTCTGGTAGCTTTAACTTTCGCAAATTTTGAGATGTTGGGTTATTTTTAATTCTATTATATTCTTCAGTTTTTTCTTGAATTTGGCGAGGATCGGTGAAGAGATTACCGATTTCTGCTTAAAAAGTGTATAAGATGTACATGTAATTTTATATAGATTATCATTAAAGGAAGGTTGTTTCGAATTTTGCGAGGATCGGTGAAGGAGTTACCGATTTCTGCTTAAAAAGTTACATGTACAAGTTATACATGTAGTTTTATATAGAGTATCATTAATAGAGTATCATTAAAAAAAAATTGGTATTGAACAAAATAGAAATAAGATATATCTACAATTAGTAGGGATCATTTTAGTAAAAACATTAATTATTTAAATGATTTTTGTAAGAGTATAACAGATATTAGCATAACAGATATTAGTTGCAATAAAGCTTTATTACAATTAAAAAAAGTGTGCAAGTAGAAACTTGCACATTGCTTTCTCATAGTTTTTAAGTGTGCAAATAGAAACCTGCACATTGCTTCCTCATAGTTTTTAAATGGGCAAGTAGAAACTTGCACATTGCTCCTTCATAATTTTTAAGTATGCAAATCATAAATTTGAACATTACTTTCTCACAATTTTTAAGTATACAAATTATAAATTTGCACATTGCTTAATCAACATTTTATTTCGCTCATAAAGCTTTCTCTATGAGGAAGCCAAATTAATAAATATCTACTAATAATTATGCATAAAAAAACAGGCTTAGCCTTAAATTTATAATTTGCATACTTAAAAATTGTGAGGAAGTAATGTTCAAATTTATAATTTGCATACTTAAAAATTATGAAGGAGCAATGTGCAAGTTTCTACTTGCCCACTTAAAAACTGAGGAAGCAATGTGCAGGTTTTTTATTACCTTTTTACTATATTGTTTTATTATTTTGCTGGCTGTCTCACGACTGGTTTTGAACTCGGGACCTCAAGATGATCAGATCGTACCCTAGCTACTACGCTATTTTGATTTATTAACATACATGTATATTTTATTGTTTATATATGTTATAACTGACGCAATTATATTATTTTTTTTATAAATGCAATTAAATTTTATAAAACACTAAATAATTAGCATTATAAATTTATTTACTTTATTTGCTTTATTAGATTTGCATAACAATGCAGTGTTATATGATATATGTGATATATGATAACTAGAGGTTAGATAAAATTTTTAAGTCAGAAAGAGCTTTGTGTTACTAGATATTTAAATTAATCGGCAAACAAGAATTGAGGTTATATCATTCCACAAAAATCTCTCTAGTAACTATCTAATAGCAGCACAATCAACACAGTTAGCAATAACCGCAGCCACATTTCCACTTCCATCTAACCAGAGAGGAAACCTCTCTGATCTAACATACATTTAGTGAATTTACTAAATAGTCGTTAAAGTTGTCAGAATTTATTGATATTTAATTAATAATACGTAACGCAGCGTTCTTTGGAAATTCTTACATTTTTATATTTTTAACAAATAAGGAAACCTTTTCTTCGCCAGTGAATAGAATAAAAAGGAGTGGTAATAATCGACGCTGACTGGCTATATAAAATTTTTTAATTATCCCACGACGTTTCGACCGTTACTTTCGGTCATTATCAAGTGTTCAAATTATATTACTTGCAAACAATTCAGTCCCGGCATTGTGCCAACAATCCAAAAGTCAAGAACTAAATGAAAAAATAAAAAAATATATATATATATATATAATATAAAAGGTCCAGAACTAATACGCATTAAAAAGCATAGAGCGGATATCAAGAAGCATGTCAGCAACCATTCGGTTGTCAGTAAGCATCGTACTTCCTTTGATCACGAATTCGAATGGCATAAAACAGAGATATTACATAGCGAAAAACAAATTAGAAAACGCGAGATCGCTGAAATGTTTTTCATAAAACAAAATAACAGCAGTAGGGAGGCAATAGGTACCTTTGGCCCAGGGATCTCGCTTGCTGTTACGCGGCGTCGGGGGGGGCTTCGCTGCCGCAGGGGGAGCGCCGTAAGCGGTGGGCGAGGGGGTCGAGGGACGGTGTAAAAGGTCACCGGAGGGGGGGCTATGCGGGGGGGAAGAGAAAACTTGGCGAGAGGGGGTGCGCGACGCGAGGGGAACATTTGACGGAAAGTTGGGTGCGGCAGGGCCGCCAACGGGGGTTCGGCGCGGGGCAGGGCCGCCAACGGGGGCTCGTTGCGGGGATTTGGGCATTTTTCGAGAGGGCGCTCGGAGCGGCGCTCGCGACGGCGGTTTTGGAGAATCGCGGGCCGATATTTTTCGTTTGTTTTTTTTTTTTTTTTTCATCGTCGTCGGTCGCGCGCGCGTTCGGGCGCGTCCGAATTCGTTCGAACTCGTTCGAGGTCGCTCGTCTGGACGTTTCGGGGGTGGAGGGGGAGAACGACGCGTTCTAGATGGTTCGTTTCGCGGGGGGGTGTCGCGCGCTCGTCTTCGTCGTCGTCGCCGTCGTTTTTTTTTAACTCTCGGTCCGAAGGTCGTTTCGATCCGCGTCGCGACGGGCAGCACGTGGTTTTCCCGACTCATCGGGATCAATGGAGATGACTCATCGTCTCGTCGTTCGATCGACGCGTGACAATTTTTTCAACGCGCGTTCGAACTCGGCGTCGCGGTCGCTCTCGTCGTTTCCTAATTTGGTCTTGTTTCGCGGTTTTCCTCCTTTTGTCTCGCGGTTTTCCCGCCCGTCCCCGACGCGACGCGTCGAGAGATCGAGCGAGATGACTTGTCTCTTCGTTTGCGATAATTTTCATTCACCTCGCGTTCGACCTGTAATTCATGATTTGCGATAATTTATGTAACGCGCGTTCGAACTTGGCGTCGCGATCGCCGCGACCGCGGAGATGGGTATACGGATTTGGGAAAAAAAGGAGAAACAGAAAGAGAGAGAGCGCACATATGAGATACGCATATAGTTTTTTTATTCAAAAAATAATACAAGCGCGTTTATATTGTTTCGCTCGCGCGAATATATGCATTTCGTAGACGCGACATCGTTATAAGGATTCGAAACATAGCGCGGCTATCTCGCAGTCGACGATGTTGTCAGGATCGAAGAAATCGCTCTTCAGTATCTCAGTCTGAATCGAAGTTTCCATTTTCATCGCGGCGGCGGCTATCTCCCGATAGCGCAAAAACTTAGCGTTGACCTCCTCGGTCGCCGCGCTCAGCGCACGGATGACGCGATCCACGCAAAATTGGAGATCGTACAGCTTGAGCAGGGTTGTGCGCACCATCGCCACGCGAGCCAGGTTGGGTAGCTCCATACGTACGATCGGCCCGTTGTTGATCACTCCGAATCGCATTGTCATCCCTCCGATCGATATCGGCGAGGGGGGGTGAGTTACGTCGGAAAGAGCGCGTTTCATGCACAACAATACGTCGCGTTTGCGCTCGATCAGTCCTTTCCACATGTCGAGCGTCAGGGAGATTTCCCTTCCTTGTTTGTCCCCCAGGGCGATATCCACGTACGAAGGCGTGGTATGAATACTGTACCACGGTGACTTGATCGTGATACCTATGGCTATGTACTTGTAGCCAGTCGTCGTCAGCAGATAACGCGTCGTCAGGATGCGCACAGGGGGCAATTCGACGGGAAAGTTGGAACGAAACTCCTGATGATGACGACGACGATCGTCCTCGACAAGCGCGTCGGCTGGAGGATGAGAGCTGCGACGTGATTCCTGGCGACGAGGAAGATAATGGCGATCGTCTATCGAACTGATCCTCCGCCTTTTATTGCCGTTGTCGTTCGCCTCCGAATCCGCCGTCTCCGTAGGAGAAATACTCCTCGGCGCGGGTTGATCGGCCAATGTCGAGAACATTTCGCGCCGCGGTAACCGTTCCTTTCAGATTGTTTTTCCGACGCGTCGTATTTGGCCGACGACGCGACACTGATGCCTTGGAAGAGACACGTCGGTATAAGTAGGAAAGATCTGACTTATTTCGCGCGTGGCGCGGTGTGGGAAATTTGCGCGGTAGTCTACTTCCTTCGGCGGATGCGGAAATCGGAGAGCCGAACCCCGGTGTCGTCATCGTTCCAATAATCGCTCGCCGACGTTAGCGAGTTATCGTTGAGGCGTACGATTTGATCGAGGAGATCGTGCAACTGCTGCAGCAGGACGGCCTTAGGGCAGACGATATTCAGTATCCGCAGATCGAATTTACCGGCCGACGAGACGGTCCTCGTAAATTTGTTGAATTTGTAGAACTGCGCCCGAGTGGTGAAGTATAGATTGCCGTCGATGTAGCGGAATATCGACGTCACGCCTTTCGGTATTCCGGGAAACGTCGCCTCGAGGGGCGTAAATTTGGCGACTCTCTTGTCCTTGTCGCATTTGTCTATCTTGCCCACCGCGTTACCGTTGAACACCACGTAGGAACGTCCTCTGTGGTGTTCACCGCTCCGTTGATCAGCGCGTTTTCGGGAAATCCGAGTTCTTGCAGGATTTTCGGCCAACCTGGCCGCAGACTAAATTCCGGATATTGAACCAAGTATACCAAATTACCTACGAACACCATGAGATCGCCGGACGGGGATTGATAGGCAGCGGTCACGCGCGTGTAATTGTCGTGAAGAAAGCTCATGTGATTCGAGAGGGCTAAAAATCCGTTGTACGTCTTACCGTCCAGATCGATCGACCAAACGTAACGTTTGTACGAGATGTACATTCAATTTTCCAAAATCAATATCCCGTTCACGCGATCAAGGCTGCACAGGTCCGGCGACGGCGGCGGCGCTGGCGTCCGACGCGGTTTATCGTTCTGAATTTTTTCACCGTACAAACGTTGAATGTCGGCGATGTCGTTTTCGTCGAGCTTCACCGGATACTGCTGGTCCGGCTGTATCGCGAACATCACCGATGTTTTGCGCCTGTTGTGCACCAATCCGAGGGAGTGGCCGATCTCGTGCGTCAGCGTAATGCAGGGAAAACTTATCCGCGGGATGTTTGTTGACGTAAATGTGCCACGGCTCGTCCCCGTCGACGTGCACCTCGGAAACGAATCCCGCTTGGTTCGTCGGGAGAGACGCGTGGGCGAGCACGTTGCCGGGGCCGTCGAATTTGACCGAGCACAATGCTCCGTTTACTTCGGCGTTCGTGTTATGGTGTAGTAGGCGTCGCCAAGATATTATAATGTCGGCATTCGACGTTTCGGAGCGTTCGAACGTCAATGCAGAATGCTGCGACCACAGATCGAACGCGGCCTGCGCCGTGCTCAGCTCGGTTTCGTCGGCTAAGGGAAAATGCCACGTCAGATGCGTCTTCGGCCATTTGGACAGGCTCACTTTTGTTCCGTGCTTCAGGATATCTCGGAAACCGCATCGCGGTTTACTCATGAATTGCAGCGTTTCGTTGTTGGGCGTTCCGTTGCCGGGTAAATCGTAGTAAATCTGAAAATCCTTGAAGGCTTTGCGAAAAACGTCGTTTCGTCTCTGAGCCGGAATCGCGTCCACGTCTTTGGACAGATATCCGTATTTCTGCAGGTATTCGAACGTGAACGCGTAATTGTCGTCCGTAATTGTGGAATTGATGCACGCCGCGGCGTTAAAACACGCGGTTAACGCGATTATGTACGCGAGCCGCATCGTCGAGAGCGAGAGAGAGACGGTGAAACCGCGATGACGGGGCGTCGCGGTTTGAGCGCGATCTCGACGAGCGCTCCGAATGCGAACGTTTACGCGATGACGCTTGTTAGCGACAACGCGGATAGGTGGCGGCGCGGCGGGGGGTCTCGGGCGTGAAAAAAATGCGTCAAAGATCCCGACGGATGAGTCGGCCCGATAAGGAAAAATGCATTAATTATTTTTTTCGATGCGTATTTTCCATCGATTTATATTTTCCTCACGCAATAAAATGCTATTCTTAGTATATTTTTCTATCGCAACACTCATGGGCAACACCCCTTTTTTTACCATATATAAGAACTCGAGACTAGACTTGGGCGTAGTCTATCCGCACTCTTCGAGTGAACTCAAGACGATGGAGAAAATTAACAATTTAAAATGCGTGTGTGATGTATTACAAAATCAAACCACAGCCCTGACGAGGGAGATTGAAGATTATTGCAACATGGTGCGGCAGTTGCAGCAGCGCGTGAAGTGCTTCACGGAAAAAGTGCCTCTCTTTTTGCAACTCACCGTTCACGTGGACGAGGACGCCGCAATGCTCGAAAGAACGTGAGTATCGCTTTCAAACGCGAAATTATTTCTTATAATATAATCAAACGATAAATTTTATATTTATGTATATTTATAATTATTTACAATTATTTATATTTGTTATTCATATTTATATTTGTTTATATTTATTAATTGTATTTTTTGCGTAGGGCTATCATTACTTCCTGGGTGAAAAAATCTCGCAACCAAATCAGATTCTTCGTGACGAAACTTTGTGGGATGCATAGGGACATCGCGCGGCTGGACTCGTACGAAGAGGCGGGTCGTCGCGAGAGAGACGACGATGAGGGGGGGGGGGGGGATTCTCCAAACCTGAACAGCCAAGAAACAGTGACCGTCAACGACGATGTCTCCGTCCTCATATGTTGGGTCTCCCAATGTGAAAAAAATGCGAAAAAAATGTGAAATACAATATATTGAAAAAATGTTATTAAATGACAGAAGTTTATGTATAATATGCTATATAATATTGTATTACAAATAAATATTAACAGTGAAAATAAATGTTTTAACGATATCGCGTTTTCTTTACCGCTCGCTTTCGCACTCGATCTGACGCTTGGCGTTATCGCTCGCTCGTTCGCTCGCTCGCTTGCGTTCCTAACCACATCTCGCGCTGGAGCCCCACCCCCGTATCGCGCTCTCGCTTTCGCTCGCCGTTTCTCTGTTTGTCGCGTTCCCGCGACCGGCCATTGTTACGCGCTGCCGCGACCGGCCATTTTCGCGCGCTCGGTAGCATATAATGTATACGTATATAAATACGGAGGTGGTATGCGAAAAGAGGAACACCGTTTGTCATAGATTTTACGTCGATTTTTATTCGATAAAATATAGATAGAAGGATATATATGATACAATGGAGTAAAAAATAAACGAGTAAACACAATATATACGAAATAAAAAAACGAGCAACGCAATAAGATAAAACGATTAAACACAATATATACGAAATAAAAAAAAACGAGCAACGCAATAAGATAAAACGATTAATACGTTAAAAAATAAAATTATATTAAACCAGTAATATATAACGTTTATTTTTTTACACAAATTTATAAAGTAATTTAATTCGCGGAGTCGATGCTGGCGAAACATTCGCGTTGCTCGATCCACCAATCGCGCAACTTTATCACGTTTTCCATGGCGCAGCACCGTTGGTGACGCCGGCAGCAAAACGCGCAATCGGTGCGAAGAGACTCCAACCGATCGACGTCCTCGTACTCTGCGTCGACGCTCACGATCGTCGCGTCGATGTCGCCGAGAATCTCCTGCAGCCATTTCTTCTTCTCGAGACCTTTCACGTAGATTCGCGCGTTGGGCGTCTCCTCCGTCTCACGCAACTTGTCCAGATTGTCGCGCACCACGCGTCGAATGATCGTCTTCGCTTGGCGATAGTCCGTGTCACCGTCCTCCCAACAAAGGCCGTGATGGTTCGCTATCAACCAACTGGCTCTCGCTTTCTCGGAGCTCGTCAGCAGATTCCAACTCATCGGTGCGTGAAACACGTGATGCGCGAGCACGCGTGTCTCGCTTCGCAACACGGCCACCTCCTTCGCGACGAATCTGTCGCCCACCGTGAATCCTTGCAGGTCGACGAAGATCGTCGTCGTCGTTGCCGCTGTCGTCATTGCGTCGGCGCGCGTTGGAAAAAAATTAAAGAACAGACGTTCGTTTCAAGTTGCTCGTTCCGAACAGAGAAACGATAGAAGGAACCCGCGCATTTATATATTCCTCGTTTCCGGGATAAAAATAATCTCATAACCATATTTGTCCGTTTCCCAGATGAGGTATTCTCGCAATCGCATTTTCAATTTCCCGGATAAGGTATTTCCACAACTTCAATTTCCGTTAGATAATTTTGCGCACCACGTTGGTCAGCGGACTGTACTCGATGACTCGATCATGAACGATGAGACAAAAAGCTGTGGTTTTCGGCGGAACGTTTTCCTTGTTTTTGAACTCGATGCGCACGTCCACGGTGGCGCTCTTCACCAATTCGTTTTGACGGAAACAATCGATCACCGCGAGCGGAGCTACCCGCGCAAATTCGCGCGGAAATGTGAGCGCGTCGTTGCGACCGTTCTCGTAATACGCTCCTCGAAATTTCGCGTACATTTCGTACAGCACGGCGAACTTGTCGCTCTCGAAATCCACATTCACGTCGTCGTAGGGATAGAATTCCGAGTTAAGATACAATTTCACGTTGGCGAGCGCGCAATGATCGAACCTCGAGGCGTCGCCCGCGAATTCGTTTCGTCGTCCGGTCTGCAGCAGGAATATGACGTATCGCGGCTTCTCTAATTGCGGCGCGGCTTTCACGGCCCACGAATGCTTGGTCGTGCTCTGCAGCAGAGGAAATTCGTACAGATCCCAAGAGCGAAAGCCCGCGCTCAGAAATCGTCCGCTCTCCAACGTTCGCAACAGCAATAATTTAGTCACGTCGTTCAGCGCCACGTGAGGCATACGCCATTGCACTTTCAGCAACGTAATTTTAGGATCCTTGGCCGGATCTCTCGGCACGGTCTTCTTCGGATCTACGACGCAGTTGTGGTCGCTACGAGAGCGTATCAGGATAAGTGTCGCGCGTTTATCACTACGCGTCTGTAGTCCTCGCAGAAACCCAAAAGAATATTCAAAGGTACGCAAAAGTTGAATTGATGGGACGCGTTGTTCAGATTCGATTCGCTCGTCGGATAACTCCATCCAGCGTTCTGCAGTTTTCTAGCTCGTTCGACGGTCAGCGACACGTAGTTCTTTATCGTGCTGGTTCAGTTCTTTATTATGCCGACGTTTCTACACCGGTCAATCTCCACGCCGTCGAGTTCGTATCGAATTTCGTCGAACATAAACGCGACGCAGTTGTTGACTAATTTCGCGTATTGTTCCTCATTCGTCGCGCCGTCATCGTTGAGTCGTCCCTCGACGTACAGGAAATTTTCGCACGGCAGTGTATACAGATCCTGCTGCTGTATGGGTATTCGTATCTTGTCGTTGTGTCCGAACGTCGTGTTGACGTACGGGTTATAACCCGTGTGAGTCTCGATTCCGACGATGCGCTCGTCGAAGATCGGCTCACCGCCGATACTCAGGATGTCGGCCATGATTTTTCCTCTCGAGGTAGAAACGGCTCGACGGTGACGCGTTTCTCACGGCGAGACCCAACGATCGTAGGAATCTGACGTTGGCGTTGCTGAGAACGGGTTCCCCTCCTCCGCTTCTTCTCTTTCTTACGCTTCCGATCTCGTCGTAGAACGGGCTAGCTCGCTCGTTCGTACAATTCGCGCTAGATCCGTTCAGAACGAGCATCCCTCCTTTCGCTCTCTCTTTCTTCAGGGATACGCGCACACACACACACTAACCGTGACGACGACGTACGTGCAATCTGATCGTTATCTCCTCGCCGCGAAAGTCGATCAGCCGATCTTTCTGATCCACGACTCGCACCGTGATATCGGTGACGTTTCGCGTGACGATTGGGAGGTAAATGATCTGCGTCGGAGTCTCCGACAGTTTATATCCCACGTACGTACCATTTGTTCGGTTTTAGAATACGATCGCTCGAGAAACCCAAAAGAGAACCGATATTGTTCGGTTTTGTAAAATTCACTCGGTAGGCGCACTTTATCTCGCTTCTTATGGTATTCTCGTTGGCGCGAAGTTCGAGCACTCTGTCGCCATCGTCGTCGTCCCCGTATATGTCATAACCGTCGCCATCTTTGTCATCGTCGTCGTCGTCTTCGTCCACGTATGCGCGATAAATCTCGTCGTTGGTTTCGTCCTTCTCCGTTCGGTTTTTTTCTTTTACCCGTCCAGCGTCGTCGGTCCGCGATTTTCCTCCTTTCTCCTTAACTTTGTCTCTCTCGCGGGCGCGACGTTCGCGATGGAGAATAGCGGCGCGCAGATATCTGCTCACGGCTCGCAGCTCGTACGAATCTTCCGGAACGACGATTCTCCGGTCGTCCTCGCCGTAGTAGAAGCGATTGTTCGCGGACGTAACGTTCGGTATCGAATTGTACGTCTCAAAAGTCGCCAAACCCAGCTCGTATTCGCCGTCGCTCAAATCCAAAGCGGGAAAGTGACTCGCCGTAAGAACGCTGCCGGTCCCGGTCAACGTGAGCGTCAGCGACATCACGAGAGAACGTCGATCGTCCGCCCGCTCCCCCCTAATCAATCTCGCGAAAAAATTGCAGGCACAGCTGTCCGCAGATTCTCTGATCGAATGTTTGAAACGTGCGACGATTGTACGTCACGATCGTGCTCTCGTCGCCACCGTCGCCGAGATATCGCGCGAGATCCCTCGGCGGGCGGAAATTTCCAAACGCGTCGAAGTAGATCGCCGAGTTCCCTTTTTTCGCGTAAGCGACCCAATGCGTGCCCGGGCCCACCGCGTCGTCGAGATTCACGATGCCGCACTCCGCGCGTCGCACCCTCGTCGGCAGAGCGTCGCGCATGAATACCCCGCGGAAGAACGGCACGCGCAGGCGACGCGCCGCTCGATCGAGCTGTTCGTCGGTCGTGACGCCGTACGGAGGTAGACGCGCTTTTTTACGCGAGGTTTTTTTTTCACCGATTCTTTTTGCGCCACTTTCGCGCTTCTTATACGACGCGAGGTACAACCCGCGACCCTCCGCGAGCTGTTTTTGCGCCGCTTTGTTGGCGCTCACCGCTTTGGCCACGGTGGCCGCGCCACCGATCAAGGAACCGAGAGCGCCCAACATCGGTAGAAAGAGCAAGAAGCCGCCGCGTTTCGCCGTCGGAAGTATCCTCCGCTTTTTCCTTCCCGTCTTCGCGCTTTTCCTCAATCCCGTTCCTTTTCTCGTTTTCCTTTTGCGTTCCATACCTATGCCCAGCTTCGTCTTTGTCTTCATAGCCGCCCATACGGCCACCGCGGCGAGTCTCTCACCGGCCGTGGAATCCTTCGCGATGACGCGCTCGCGCGCCCTCTCGGCGAGCCGTCGATCGGCGACGTGTCGCTCGGCGAGCTCGCCGCTTCGCGAATACGCGATGTCGTGCTCCCGACACGCCGCGTCCAACGGATTGATGCCTTCTTCGCCGCGCGCTAGTCTTTTCGCTAGACGCGTACCGGGCCCGCAGAACTGATAACCGGGTATGTGCAGTTCGAAGGGAAGAGCGTTTATCGCGCGATTGAGCAGACCGGTGC